GAGATAGGAGCAAACGCATATTCCAATAAAAGATGAAAGTAGATGCTTAACGACACGTCAAAGTTTTATTGCTTAAAAATGCTAAACTCCTCCGTTCAAACCTTAGACCCAAAAATTAAATTTGAAATTTAACTGGCACCACCCACTCTGATCTTCGTCTTCATTCTCATCATCCCCTCGCCCACTTCGCAAACTCGTCAATGAAGCATGCGTGTTGTGCGACTTCGGCCGAAGTTTCGCCGCCTGACCGTACGTCGCGCTCTTTCGGGTCCCATAACCATGACGAAGGCCACGTAGCCACTGACCCTGGTAGTTACCTTAAATAGACATAACGTCATATAGAAGAATGAGGCAAAGTTTCCTCTCATTTCTCTCACCGCCATCCACATAGATCTCTGTGCCATAACCGTCGTGATACCCACCCGACCATGTGCCTTGGTACCGGGCTTGAGAGGTTGCCGAGTTTCGCACACCATATCGTCCCTTCTGACCTTGCGTCCACTCTCCTCTGTAAATTCGTAAAGGTAGGCTACATGTGACTTAACTCGGAGCGCATGATAAAAAGGTGTAGTAGTTACTTGTACGTCCATCGTCCTCTCTGTTCCACACCCAAGCCATGTCGTTTCCCATTCTGCCATTGACCATGATATGTATTCCCAGAGGGCCAGTAGTAAGCACCGGACACCTGCGAAAGCATTTAGCAGGAAGATATAAGCTAGAAAACTCGGTCCAATTGATCCCGGCTTTTCCATCTAGCACTTAGAACATCGGTGTTTGTGCCATTTTTTTTAAAAATATGAAATGTTATAAGAAATGTTTTAGCAACACATAGGATATTGTTAATGATTGGAGAAATATTATTGTGTATTATTGTTGATAAAATTCGAAATAGAAGTCTCCCTCTACAAAACATGTTACTTAGATTGTCCAACGGTTTCGGTTCTGCTGAAGATGTGGTCAAATATGTATTTCCAAAGGGTCAAAACAATTCAAATGACAGCTCAGTTTTTCGGGATTGTGTGGAACCCGAGTTCACAATAACTCTAAGTAGTAGGGTAACTAGTCATGTGTATGCGAAAATTACAGCCATTCGCTGCAATAGGGTTAGTAGGACTCTTCTTTGAGATGATATATCAAATACAGCCAAAACTCCAGAATTAGAAATT